TTCAAAGAACAAATTATCTAGAAAACGTAGAGTCCAGAGGTTGAGCCAACTAAGGATCAAATGGCCTGATCCCTTTTCCCTCCAGTTCAGGAGCACTGAAACTTGCTCTGGTTCAAAGGATGGGGAAGTACAAGGTGTAACCATGCATGTCAAGGTTAAGGCTTCCCCCAAGTGTCTCGGTGAAGGGCAGGGTGGACAGAAGAGGAAGAGAAGCAACTCCCTGGCAGGCAGTGAAGTGGATGTCAGTGTCAAAGTTACCACCACTCCTTCCAGGAAGAGATGGCCGTCCCCTGCAAGTTGTGAGACTGGAAGAGACAACCCCACAGAAGATGATGGGGCTGTTGTGGGGTCAGGTCTGCGGATGGCGACAAGGCAAACGCCACTGAAACCTGCAGGGAGCACCATCATACATGAAGATAGCGCTTCCCCCAGAACACCCTCTAGGTTGTCAAAAAGGAATAGAGTTTTAGAGTATTAGTGTGATTTGCACATGTACAGTAGTCATGAATTTGATTATGAAATGTCCTGCATTGTCCATTTTGTGAAAAATCAATGAAACATGCAATTGTGGAAAATGTCAATAGCTGCTAGCCTGTAAATGTTTACAGAACTTCAGCAAAGAAGATTTCCTACAAAAGCTATATTTCTCATCGCTGTAGATGTAAAATACTGGTATTTTGTAAAGTCTTTCCCAATAATGACAGACAGCTGAAAGACTTACCATATGACACAGTGGGTACTGTTGGTTTAGGCAAATTTAAGCAGTTGCAAAGGGATTAAAGATTATCAGTTTTTTTCATCACATGCCTAATAGGTTGAGAGCTATTCTGTAGATTTTGTATAATTTGCTTCCTACTGTACTTACATGAATAATATTCTAATAAGAAATTGATGAAGAGTAAAATGTTAGACAAATGTTTTTTTTTTTCATGTAGCAGAAATCTGGTGTGTAATAGATGTTTTAAGACTCAACTATAAGAATAGATTGTACTACTAATGCCACTTACTGTACATATATTTTTGCCAGAAATTGTGTGTGTGTACTAGAATATTAGAACAACTTCAAGTGACATATTTCAATGTGTAGTGTGGAGCTTTGATCGAAAGCCATTTAGGAACTAATGCTGAAGTAATGAGTAAGCATTGTCTACAGAGAGTGAGGTAGTTATGACAATGCACAGCTGTCCTTTGTTATGCATCAGTTGTAATGATTGATCATGCCTAGTGCAGGTTTCTTCTGTCACTGCCATTGTATTTGTAATCCTCATGTTTGAGTGTGTGCATGAGCAAAATTGTTCACAATCACATGCGACAGGTGACCCCCTGACATTGAGGTTTCATTTCAAGTCTAGCTTCAGCCAGACGTCTCCATCTCCCATATAGTACCATATCTCCATCTCCCATATACCATGGTTTTACCTCCATGCATATACTTGTCATCCTTAGATGTCAACCAAAGAATTGTCTGTTCAGTTGTCCACTTTGACTGTACCCCTGCAGTGCATTCTGCAGTAGATTGTGTAGAGCACCTGAAAATATGTATTAATCAGATTCGTCTGGATTTGTATACCAAATGTATTTTTTCCTAATTATTTACTTGTCTGTAACATGTAGAATGTATGTTATGGAGTAGGTAATGCTTCCTTGTGGATGATAGTGGGACTGTAGGTGTGTCGGTGACTTCCTGTCATGCTAAAGAGACGGAGTGGGTGTAGAACCTTCATATTTGAAATATAGAGAAAGCACTTGCTATACTGTGTATGGTGGACTGACTTTCCATCCACTCCTACCTTGTATGGTGCCATTGTCACTGGGAGGACAAATAACTAGGATCTAATTCAGGATAGGTATATTGCACCAGTACCAGCATCTATCATTCTATTTAGCATTTGTGTATGGTAGAAAGCTGCTTCATTTTGGAAAATGCTGCAACGGACGAAAATTAGTATTACAAATATCCATGCATAATCACCCAATAAAACTAAATGTTGCAAGTCCTAGATTTTGTTACCATTCATTTGCCATGAACATGACTGCTTTGTTAATAGAGAATTTGAGAAATAGACACAGTGTAGCCATGCTGTTTGCTGTCCCTCAGCTGACTAAAAGGTCTTTCCTAGCTACTGTTTACTAGTTTTATCCTTTCACTGTTTAATAATTTATAAACCTATCCCAAAGTCAATGTCTTAATTTTTGCCATAAATAAAGTACACATATTTACAATCTTTCTGTCTGTTTCTGTTATGTGGCCTTATAATCTTGATTATTTACGACATCTGTGACTTTAAATCAAAGTCAAAGCTACTGTATGTTTGACCAAAGTAAAACTACTTACACATCAATTGTTTGGAGGTGTAAACTGTAAAGTTATGATTATCATGTTTCCAGACACTGGCTATTACTGACACCCCATAATGTCTGTTTCGCTATTAAACCATAACCCTAGGTCAGTAAATAAAGCATTAGATGTTGAACTAGAGTTCCACGATCTCATACCTTCGCCAAATGATGTTAGCCTTTATGAATAAGAAATATACTAATCACCCTGATTATGCAAGTAGGATCCTCAATTGCATGAATGATATCAGTCTGTTGATTATATTCTCCACCAAAAGACAGTCTTATGAATGCCATTTTCTCATAAATTATGCAAATGTGGTCCTTATTTGAATAAGTTATGTTTAATTATGTTCACCTTCACTTAACTTTCAAACACCCCAAGTATGAAATTCCAGGCAGTTACCACTACGCAATTATAACATTTTCTCATTAATTATGCAAATTAAGTCTTCATTTGCATAATCAATACTTGCCTGTGTTTCTCTCGTTCTTAATAACATATGTTACAAGCTTGAACTTCCTATCATGGAATGCAGCTGATTTATAGAATTTCCTCATTAATTATGCAAATTACATCAATATTCGCATAATTGTAACATCATTATGTCAAGCATCACTTAAGCTACCTACATACCAAAAATCACGATGATCCATCAATCGGTTCTTGAGTTATCCTCTTTTAAACATTGTCCTTAAACCCCTGCAGTTCTAGAGCAAGCCG